TAAAAATTATTGTCCCATTATTTGCTTGGCACACAGTCTGTCCTCAGATAAGTGTGAAATATAATCATAATAATAAATCGGTAATAGTCGCAATCTTTGTCGTTTAATTAGCAGTATGGATCAAACGAAAGTAGGCATTAGTGAGGCAGTTAGGAAGTCCGATGGCACACTTATTATTGTTCAGCAAAGCCGTCTTGAACGAAGGGTGGAACATTTTAATGCACGGTTCCGCTGACCCTCGCCAACACAAGGCCTCCGTATACCAGCTTCAACCGGGCAAATACCGTCAGTTGGCATCAGTCCTCTAGCTGAAGTTGAGGTTACTCGGGAAATCAGTTATCTCAAAAAGCATAAGGCCTCCGGACCGAACGGGCTGTCCCCATCGGGTTTTAACGATGGAGGTTTAGCGTCGGTCTTCGAGTTAACTAAACTCCTGGGCTCATTGTGGGAGACAGAAGAGGTTCCAACCAACCGAAGCGAATCGGTGATCATACCGATTTACAAGAAAGGTAACAGGTCCTCTTGTGAAAACCACAGAGGAATTGATTTAATCAATATCGTTTCTAACCCTCTCGCTGGTATTGTACTCCGTCGATTGTCTGCCGCACGTGAACGGTGCACGCATGAGAACCAGGCTGATTTTAGACCTGGTCGAAGTTGTATAGACCACATCTTCACTCTTCGTCAAACGCTAGAACACACACTCCATTCGTAGACACCATTTCTATCTTCATCGATTTGAAAGCGGATTTCGATTCAGTTGATCGCTCTAAGCTCTAGCACGGCCTCGCTCTGAAGGATGTGCCCGAGAAGTTTATTTCAATATTACAATCGCTTTGTACTAATAGCTGAAGCAGGTTTTCACGCGAACTCACTACATAAAGTGATGTTCCTTGGGGTTGCCCTCTCTCTCCGTTTCTATTTAAATTTATCGTTGATTTTCTTCTTGAAACAGGCCTATCCTCGTGCAAGGATAGCGGCATTAACTTTCTCTCAGGGAGCCGACTGTCTGATCTCCAGTATGCGGACGATATTGTGCTACTAAGTGAGGATGCTAATCGATTTTCTGTATTTTATCACCGATGTTTCCGAAACATTGCTCGTGTCTGGTGGGAACACCGGGTAAGTAGTGACGAGGTTTGTCGTCATGTGTTGAGTGCGGATAGTCGTTCTCTAACGGAAGTAATCGTTCTACACCGCCTCCAGTGGTTTGTTCACGTATTGCGTGTGCCTGCCCATCGGCTACCTTTCCGTGCTTTCTTCTCACGTGTCGGGCAAGGCTGGAAGAAGCGGCGCGGTGGTCAGACCATGACATGGGCTAGAGGCATGAAGAAGCTGGTTTCAGATTTGGCTTTTGCTGGTGCAGCCCGCCTTCCAGGTTGGGGCCCAAGGGGTGAGGATTGTCGTTGGCTAGAGACGCTGAGAGATATGGCCCAGAATAGAAGTCAGTAGCGTGAATGCTGTGCGGTCTGGCTGTCGAAATCCTGTGCCCCTTAAAAATAACAAAACACAAAAAAATATCAAAAAATGTACGGTGAAACACATCAAAAATTTTGTTATGTCATTTATCTTCCATTTTCCAGTATTTAACTGTTTCACACCCTTTTTACTATGTTCTGTGCCTCAATCCATCTATCCCCTATTATTGGTATTGTTAATACTGTTGTGGCGTTGGTACAATGATGTTCACCAGCCAATGTAAAATATAAATGTATATATATATATA